ATGGCATCCACACTTATCAGTTAGTTATAGGAAAGATATCAAGTAGTTTAGCTATCATGTAGCTATGGATAGTCTTCAAAGCGGTTGAGTGTGTCACAGTTTGTTGTTTACAATCTATACCGAACCGGCTATATAAAGCCAGTTTTTTTTAAAATGAAAATTAAGCCACATCTTGTATCTTCCTACTTAAGCACTCAGAAACCAATCAGCTATCCCCCAAGGTTCATCTCTCTCATCTATGATCTAAACCAATTCCCAACCAAGCCGGCGCAGCCTGGCCATCCTCCCAGTAGTGTTTATCATGTAGTGTACCTTGGTACATAAAGGTTTCATTCTTTTCAGGAACCAAATTTACACAAGTCAGCTCCTCCAGCCGTTCCCTATCCCGTCTTCCTCTTCCCTCCAGCCGCCGTAGAGAGGAGATGAGACCACAGCTCTGCCGCCTGTACCTTCTTGCTCATCAGTGGCATCCCTTCCCATCCGCCCAAATCTTCTTACTTGCTGGCGGCTGCAGTCCGTGTCGTCCTCGCTGTCCGGAGCAATTTCCTCGTCGGCGGCCGCCTTGCCTTCTACCTTTCTGCCTGGATCTTCTTCCTTGCAGCGTCCGCCGTGGTTGCCTGCTTGAGCGTGGTAGCCGTTGGAAGGAGGGCTAGGTAGCGGCTCGGTTGCTGGAGGCTGGATCCCGAGTCCCACTGTGTCCAAACCGTACTAGGCCGTGTCACGATTTGTTTCTCTTTTATTTTTTATTCAGAGAAGATGGGATACTGAAGGGGAGCCTTGGCGCAGTGGTAAAGCTGCTGCCTTGTGACCATGAGGTCATGGGTTCAAGTCCTGGAAACAGCCTCTTACAGAAATGTAGGGAAAGGCTGCGTACTATAGACCCAAAGTGGTCGGACCCTTCCCTGGACCCTGCGCAAGCGGGAGCTACATGCACCAGGTTGCCCTTTTTTTTTCAGAGAAGATGGGATACTGCAGGATACGCGTATCCTGGCGTATCCGTACGTACCCCCGTGTCCCCCCGTACTAGGACCCCAATACAGCAGCTTCTGCCGTATCCATGCTTTGTAGCTGACCTCTGCTTCTTCAAGTTGAAAAGTAAAGTGACAGAATTTATTCAGAAGCTACAAATTTATTTTGATAATCTTACATTAACCATGGTACCATGCTTGGGGCTAAAGGCTTTGTTGTTCTTGTTGTTGTTGTTGTTGTATACATTAACCATGCCTAATTCATTTTACAACGAAATGATAACTTGCGGGAAACTTCTAGAATCCAAGGGTTGACAGTTTCTAGAAAACACCATTGGCTTTAGCGGTGCAAACTGCCAATACAAGTTTGTTTCGGAGTGGGCCACATAAAGCAGGTCAATATCAAAGAACTAAGAAGTAAGGGTCCGTTTGGTTTCCAGCCACGGTTTGCACGCCTTAATAATCCTATCGCCCATGGGTCATAAGAGTCAACTATTCGCCACATCTTGACACAATTGTGGGCAGCTTTTTCTTGGCCAAAATTGTATCTAAAGCCACAAAGTTAGCTATGAACCAAACATGCCCTTAATCCATACTCAGATTACAAACTTCACAGAACACAACTTACCTTGTAATTTGAGACTTGGAGGATATATTGCCGCTCCTTCGAGTCCATCATGACCAATTTTGTCTGCCAGTCTGCCGTTTGCTCCACTTGTTGCTTCTCCACATCATTTTTAAATTTCTCCAGCATCCTGTAAACAGATTATTCTATATTACATTCTTCACAAAGATCTAGTTGGTGATGATTAGTAAGTACTCCTTAAGTAACTAATAACTGAACGACTATCAAATCACCTCTTGAGCTCGGTAAGCTTGGTGATGGCCTTCCTTGTGTAATCAAGAAGTGCCTTTGACTCTTTATGCACTTTGTCCCTCTTCTCCTCCACCTCTGCTCTCCTCAGCCATAAATCTGCACTGGCCACCACGAAGCTGCAAAGCCACCATTTCAAACTTATAAGAAAAATTGAAGCACCGAGAAAATCACATGCATACTCCCTATACTACCCGCAAACATTAATATTCTCAGTTCAGTGGGATTGTCAAAAACTCCGCCTATGTCTTCTAGGCATAGCCGGTCCCAAGTCCAGGTAAAGGAGGAGGGTTGTGATAGGCTTGGCGAGCCAACGTAAAAACTAGCCAGTCCCATGGGTATGAAACCCATTTGAGCGAGAGTAGTACTAGGATGGGTGACCACCTGGGAAGTCCTCGTGAAAGGGTTTCATATCTAAGGGTTGTGATAGGCTTGGCGAGCCAACGTAAAAACTAGCCAGTCCTTTGGGTATGAAACCCATTTGGGCGAGAGTAGTACTAGGATGGGTGGCCTCCTGGGAAGTCCTCGTGAAAGGGTTTCATATCTAGCCTACCCCAACTTGTTTGGGACAAAAGGCTTAGTAAGTAGTAAGTAGTAGTGGGGTTGTCAAAAAAGTTTGGGCTCGGCTCAAGCCAGGTAAAACTCAAGGCCGACAAGATCTCAAACCAAGACAAGCCCAAGCATGCACTCAGACGTCAATCCTTTGAAAGAGCCGAGCACAGTGGCTAGATAAGTGCTCATATGCATAAACTCATCTTAATTAGTTAGTTTCCCCATCTTATATTTTTCACAAGGCTCACAATCCTTTTTCCCCAAACACTACAATCCTAACTGCATTGTACCCTCACTGAAAGCACTCACACCCCTTGCTAATATTGTGTGTCTTTATGGACAGGAAAGCATCTTGCTTCTCCCAGGTCCAGTCTCTCAGAAACTCCCCGGTCAAATAGATGCTACATTGCACTTGCTAGTCATGTCCCTAGCTCCAACAGAAGTATTCAACCAGTCGAAGCTTTCTGATTTAATCGTCTTTTTTTCGTATTTGTTTCCATCTTTTGATATTGATGCTCTGCATTTCCCAGTATCATGCAAATTTCGCCACTGGATCAACAACCAATACTCAGGATTCCCCACTATGATGTGCTACAGTATTTCAAGCTTGAGCTTCAAGCAGAGCTCACTCAGGTTTGATTCGAGTATGCTCAGAGACTGAGATAAGCCTGGCCAATTTTGATGATACCGTTGCAGAATACGGACGCAATGCACAGACTAGACCAAAGCAAGCTCGAATGCAAACTAGCAGGGCGCTTACAGGACCGGTCTTTCTATTTGGCTAAAATACATACACCCGTAACACCGGCAAACACCCTGCTCACTGAAATGGCACATTCGTCGGAATTCATCCAATTTCGGGATAAAAGTGGCCATGAATGATTCTTCCCATCAGAGGCCTAGATCTAAAACTCATTAGGTCCGTGAGAGAAATAAACGAAACTCGGAACCCTAACCACGAGTGACCTGCTCATCTCGGTGTCGCGGATGGCCAGGAGGTTCGCGACAGCGGCGACGGCGCGCGCGGCCGACGCAGCAGGCGGAGGGAGCGCGTCCCGCGCAAGGCCGGCCCGCTCCAGCGCCTCCCGCAAGCGCGCTGCCTCCGCCTGATACTCCGCGGCCTGCGCGCGCAGCCCCGAAGCAGCGATCCCGGCTGCGTGGGACCGCGCCTGCGACGCCGCCGCGAGCGCGCGGAGATAGGATACCCCGCGCGGCGTGGGGTCGGGGCCCAGCGATAGCTCGGAGACCACCGCCCCACCGCCGCGCCCTCCCACTCCGCCGCCCTCCGCTGCCAGGGAAGCCAGCCACGCGTTGACCTCCGCGACGGATGCGGGCGCGGACGCGGACGCCGAGGCTGCGGGGTCGAGGTGCTCCCCGGTGTGATCCATTGCTGGTAGGAAATATTTGGGGGATGGTTTGAGGAACCTTTAAGGATGCGTTTGGTTGCAGCGCTATCCTTTTAGGCCTTGTACAATGGGAGGTGCTTAGAAAAATAAATCAAATTTTTTTAAGCACCGGTGCTTATTTGTACAGGATAGACACTTAATTAAGCAGTGCTTCAAAAAAATTCGATTTATTTTTCTAAGCATCTTTCTAAGCACCTCTCATTGTATAAGGCCTTAGAGACAGGAATAGCCTCTTTTTACAGTAGGTACCACCCGTTTGGATCTGTGTCAAGGAGAGACAGAGGCAGCCAGATGCCTGGAATATTCGTGAAAAACAGGGTTGTGGCTAGCCGCGAAAAAGTGGCGGACAACGGCAACCACCCCGTGCATGCGTCCCTCCGCTCATGCGTGAATCGTTTTTCCGCCTACTGACTCCCACTCACCATCACGAACAGGTGAAACCCTCACTTTTTCCCCATCGTTCGTCTCTCTCGTGTGCGGCGGCGGCGGCAGCTCATCTAGCAGAGAGGCCACGAGAGGTGAGTTCGTTGGTTCTCTACTCGGCCCTCCCTCCTCCTACGCGTCCGCCTCTCCAGCAATCGCGTGTGGCGGCCGGCCGGCTGGGATCTAAACCAGCGGCATGACTGGATCTGGAGGTGGCCGGCGGCGCCGCTAGATCTCGAGGAGGCCGGCAGCTGGGGGCTTGAGGTGGCGTGCATGGCCGGATATTGAGGGTTGGATGGCGGTTTTATGCATGTCTGGTGCATGCATGAGCAAGCCTGCGTGTGGTCTTGAGTTCGGCTTGTAGCAGGTTACTGGATGCGTGAGCATGCATTTGTGCTCCATGTTAATGATTATTCTTTGTCTATTGCAGGTGATTTGAAGCCATAAATCCTATTCTATTCTTTATAAGCAGTCTGTAGCAGAGTACTATGAGTATAACTTGGAGCAGAGCACCTTCAATCTGAGGTTATTTGGCCATAGTTAAACATCTTTTAGTTCCAAATAAATCATTATTTTGTACATAGATGGTGTGCAATTGAATTATTTTTGTGCACATGTTCAAGTGTCATGTGATTACTAGAACCTAAATTTGCTTGCTGCATTTTTTCCTTATGCTCAAATACTTGCTGTAATTAGTATCTCAATGTCCAAAGGCTTGCTGAAATTCTCTTTATGTGAAAGTACTTGCCGTAATGGGTTTCATAATGTCAAATGCTTGCTGTAATTTTTTCTTTAAGCTCAAATACTTGTTATAATATTGTCTCAATGTCCAAACACTTGCTGAATTTCTTTCTTTATGTGATTATTGCTGGAGGAAGCATGGCCACGGGGCAATATGCAAAATGCTCAAATGACCCTCTTGGTACAGAAGTGATTAATCTTGAAGAAGACATAGCCAAGAAACCCCTGCTTGAAGAGCCCAAACCAAAAAAAGTACATGAATGATGGTGATTGCATATGTGATGACTTTGGGAGAACAAGAAAGTACTCCCAGATTTTAGTTTGGATTTCCTTGCTCTTTACTATGGTCTTTGGGAGAACATGAATGATGGTGATTGCATATGTGATGATTAACTTGTACTTTTGATGACAACCAAGAGAATTACTATGGGTTGTATAACTATTAGGTTTTAGTACTCTATGCACTGTTGAACTATGAGTTGTATGCACTTGGTTAAATGTCAAATGATGAACTATTATATGTGGCAGAGTTCAAATTAGTTTATACTATTGTTTTAGTATGTTGTGGTATAGTTATTTTTTGAAATTATTACTTCACATATCATATATGTCACTATGGGGGTAATCTGACCACCTCGGTGAAAAGGGTTACCACAACCCTTATCCATCATTTATCCCTCAAACCAAACACTCCAGGGCTATCCTCAACCATGTTCTGTCCTTCAAACCAAACAAAAGACGGGTTAACCTCACCCAACCAACCAAACACAAAAAAGGGCTATCATTGACCAGGTGGTTGGGGATACCCACAACCACCCTAGCTTGTCCCTCAAACCAAACACATCCTAAAAGATCCGCCTCTTTCCGTTGGATCTGCTCGTGATTTTCAAGCCACCTCAGACTACCCATGTTAGAGCATCTCCAGCCGCAACCCCAACAAGGCCCCCCAGGCGACTTCGCCAAAAAATCGGCCCAGACGTGCCCCCAAGGGCCCAGTTTTCGTCGGCTCGGGCCGCGCGCCGGTGGACCCAACCCGAACCCGGCGCGCTGGGGGCGCTCGGGGGCGCCGGGCGAATCGTTTTTGGCGCAAAGGAGCCGCGGGCCAGCCGCGTCAGCGACACCGCCTCGTCTTCTCCCAACACCTCGGTTTCCCGCGGGGAATCAATGGCAAGGTTGCCACCGGTCAGCTTTGCCATTGATTCCTCACGGGCGGCGCATCACGGGACGGCGCGCCGACACCTCCCCTCCCTCGGACGCGTACACACGGACCCGACACGGCTATATATGGCCTTGCTCGCCTCTGATGAGCACTACCTCTCCCGAGCGCCGCCACCGAGCTCCTCTCCCTCAGCCCTCCCTCTCCCATGAGCCGCCGCCCAGCCCCTCCATCTCCCTCCCCTTTCCCGATGGCCGAGCGTTTCCCCGGAGACGAGGCGGCGGCCAACGACTTCGGCCGTCGTTCGCTCCGCGAACAGGAGTCGTGGCTCCTGTTCCAGGCGAACATCCCGGCGCCGCCGGACATGCGCGCCGGGCCGACGGGCTAGAGGCTCAACAAGGGGGGAGTGCCCATTCCCCCGCTGCCCGACGCCATGGCCAAACCCTCCTACTTCGCCGACGAGGTCGAGATCGTGCACGCCTCCCTCACCGACGCCGAGCTCTCCCTCCCCCAGTACGTCATCGACAACCACGCGGCTTGGGCGGCGTACTTCGAGCACCACCAGCAGCGGCGGCTGGCGTCCACCAACGGCGCGCCGGTGGTCGGTGGCCTGAAGAACAACGAGGGGCGCCACCTATGGTGGGGCACCCCCGGCCGCACACTTGAGGGCGTGCTGACGCACCTCGAGGGCGGCAACAACCCGCCGTTGGCGTACCCCCGGCGAGGGCAGCCGCACCGGCGCACCGCCGACGCGACGGGCAATGGGCGCCAAGGAGGTTCGGTTCCTCCTCTTCTTCTTCCTCGTCGCGCTCTTCCTCCCACTCCTCCGGCACTCCGACGCTGCTCGACGTCAAGGCCGAGCCCGCGGCGAGACGTTGCTCGGCTGGCGCACTCGCCACGTCGGCATCGTCATCAGCGAGGACGGCCGTCGCGCCTCCTCGTCGGCTCCTCCTCCACGCTTCGTCAAGCCGAAGACGGAGTCGGGGCTCGCGCCGGTGAAGACGGAGCTGGGTCTCCCCGCCGTGAAAATGGAGCATGGCGAGGTCGAGCTCGACGACGATGCAACCCTTGAATGGGCACGCCGGGACTCCCGGAAGATGGCGGGGGAGCGCCAGTGCGCCGCCCTGCGGCGCTTCGCGCAGCGCCGCCGAGGCCGCGACGAAGGAGGAGTCGTCATCATCGACGACAGCGATGACAATGACGCGCCGCCGCTGCCACCAGCCGAGGAGGGGTCCAGCAGGGGCGCCCGAGTCAAGGAGGAGAAGGCCGACGATGGCGGCGACGACGGTGACTACTCGGTGTTTAGCCAGTTTTTTTAGATTAGTTTATAGATTTGCTATGTATGTAACGAAAATCCGCGAACATGTCTAATATATGCCCAAGTTTGCCGAAATTTGTCGTGTAGCCGAACTTCGCCGAACTTTTCCTAAATTTGCAATATATTTTTATTTTTTTAATGCGCCTGGGGGCGGCGGCTGGGGACCAACTCGCCCCCAGGCCCATTTTTTGCGTCGGGTCACCCCCAGGCGGCGATTTTAGGCGCCCCCTGGGGGGCCAACGGCTGGAGATGCTCTTACTGCTCTATGTTACTAGTACCTCTATAGTGAGGAGTAACATATGTGTTGTAGCATGCAACACTTCATTTATTAAGATATAGACTCATCTTGCCTTGATAGTAACTAGCTATGTTACCACATGCCTCTCTTTCTTCATTTATTGCTTGCCACACCATCTATTTTATCTAGATATGTGTGATGTTATTACCTATGTTACTCCCATTGTGGTTAGTCTTAGAAGGTTCCCGACTTTTGCCTCAAAGACTCGGTCCATGCGTGATCAACGAGCGGGGAAGGCCTACTTGCGGCTCTGCAAGGAAGCAGTCGACGCTGAGGCGAGCACGCTTCAGGTGCAGGCACGTGCGCTGGGATCGGCGCAGCGAGTGCAAGGGCTCGGGCGGGCACGTGCAGAGTGAAAATTATTATGTCCAGCATAGGCACTGGCAGCTACACGATCTCGCGCGGGTCAGCGTGGACCTTGTTGACGTCTGTGTCTTTCAGCTTTGTAATGGTGCTCGGCGACCAGCCCATCAATGCCACGGGGATGATCGCTGGCGCGGGGATGGGAGCTGGGACCGACACAGGGGTAGCATCCGTCGCGGCCTCGTTCAGGGCCATGTTCATGAGGTGCCATTCCTCCTTATTTTCTCTCTCTTCCGGCTCAAAGCCGATTTCACCAAATCGGAATATTAGAGGCAGATGATGTTGGAAAACGTAGTAGAAAACAAAAATACCGGCCTACAAACACCCAGGAACAATATGAAGGTGCATTGGGGGATTGGATCATGATCGTTACCAACTCCGAGTATGTAGCGGAAGCAGACGAGTCGATGTAGATCGTATTTGGAGCCCCTCAAACCATCGATGAACGATCCCATGAACCACCCTCGAACGATCCTCGAACCGAAACCGAAAGCACGACCTCTTTACAGTTTGCAAAGTGTACGGTCTTTACGATCCGACAGCGTTTCGCCGTACAGAACTAATCGCCGCCGGAGAATTAGAGGAGAAGATTAGAGTCACTTGAGACTTCTAATTATGAGGATTAGAGTAACTAGAATTAGCTCTAATTATCTCAATTAAAACTTGTTGGACTAGAAACTTGT